ATTAAGAATGTGAGGTAGACTCATATAAATTGGAGATACAGAAGTTCCTGTGCCCTTTTTTAATCCTTTTAACACTTGATATCAAAGGTCACCATCCAAATCAAGCCCCACCCATTCTGAATTTTAAGATGGTTACAATGGTTAAATCTGTTGTATTGACAAGCTCTTGTTAATGTCTCCAAATATGGGATTTTAAATTCCTCAAGGGCTGTCTCTTTCATCTTTGCATCTTCAGAGTAGGTTCTCAATGAATATTTATTGAAAGAAACTGTGGATGTATTGATGAATGGATAAATGAATAAAGGTTGACTTACTAAAGGAGAAAGTAGTAGGCTCCAGAAGAAAAGTGAATGCATCACAAAGTGCTTGGCTATTTAACAAAGGGCTTAATTAGTCTTAGATTGTTTAACTATTATTGCTAATATCTAAGTTCTAGATTTTGACATACCAATTAATTAAAATATGACATGAGATGTTGATCATCTGCAAGTAACAGTGTTTGCTTAAATATAAATCTGGTCTATTCTAATGAAGAAGTACTACAGCTTATGTTTTCACTATGCGATTCACAGTTTCTACACAAAGGCAGCAGATGCCAAGCTGAAAATGAGAGGAATGATGGTGTGTCAGAGTAAAACTCATCATAAAGGAGCTCCGACAGAATCACTCAGCACAAAGAGTTCAGGGTAACTTTGTGGATGCATTTGCCGAGTCATTTAAAGATAATACAACTTTACAATTCAGCTTTTTAATGCGATAAAAAAAATACTTCTACATATTGAAGGATTCCCAGAAATTGAATCAAGTACTTTTTAAATATACATCTCAAGGCCTTTAAATTAGGAAGAGCATGCATGCCAAAAGATTAAACTGGGGCTCATGACTGAATCCTACAATTGCACAGAGGTCTTCAACTTTTTCAACCAGTGACCAGCACAGTGTGAGGTGCAAATTCAGGGACCACTAAATGTGGACAAAAGGGAGGAAGAAGGCAAGGAGGAAACCTCAGTTAATTAAAAGAATTGAAATACAATAAATTATTTGAGAATATAATTTCTCAATAATAGGCTCATCGGGGCCAGGCTCATTGGGGTCTACACCTTCCAGGCACAAGAAAAAACTGTACATTTTGGCGCCTTCTGCGGTGAGTTTGGGCCATGTGATCAGATCTGGTCAATTAGCTGGGAGAGGAAGTGAAGTGAGTCTCTCATGGGTCAGCGCATTGATTACTGAGACGGGGACCTCCAGAGTGCCATGGTGAAAAGCAATATTGGCAATGGTAGATGTTTCAGCAGCCTGGATACAGAATGAGACGCTGAAAAGAACTCCCAGCACCTTCCACAATGAATATGTAGTCTGCGTGTGAAGTAAATCCATACTATAAAGTCACCAGGACTTGAAGGTTATTTGCTATCACATAGCTTAGCTTATCTTTACACATTTCCTCCCTGTAATGCCCAATCCTCTGTATTGTTCATTGCATATGAATCTATTCTCACATTAATAATGTTTTTAGAGTAGGGTGATATTGTAATTATTTGGAGTTAATCTTTGCTCTGTAAAGTTGTTTGAGAAACCATGACAAACCCTTATTTATTAACTGATACACCACAGTGTGGAAAGAAAGTTCCTAGAAACAAAAAGCCTATTTCTAGAAAAAATATTGTTTTGGTTGTTGTTAATATTTGGACACTTCTAAAAAAAGAAGCAAGAAAGTTACTCATAAAAGAAAAATTAAGAAAAGTCTTTATTTAAAGCAGTTTAAACATATATAGTAAATGTGAATTTCTGTAAAATTGTTCTAGATATATTTCAGTTTCTTCCAATAAAATTAAGCAAAGGCCAATTTCTTCTGAGCCATTATGTGGAGTACAGAGAATAAATCTATCCTACCATTTCCCTTTCAGACTGAAATATCCCAAAGGTATACAAAAACACTAGAAATGTGGTCTATCTCACCTATTAGGGCATATTTTTGGTCATTTAGGAACCCTCAGCATCTTTATAAATAGAGCTGCAATCTATTTGTAGAATTAAATCCCCATGAACTATATGAAGTGCTCTGATACTTTTCTTTTTTTGTGACAAAGTTCACTTTTTGAATGAGCCATCTCTCAGTAAAGACATTGATATCATTCATCAGTATATCAAGAAATTCTACCAAATTTTAAGTCCAGAATACGTACTATTATTTTTTTATTTTTTGTATCCCTTATGGAGGGTCTCAGTCTACACTTACAACAGGTTGACTTAAATGTGTTAACATCATTACACATAATAATGCAGGAAAAATAAAAAAATTAATTTAAATCTATTACATCCCCCTTCCAAAGCACATACGGTTTCAAATTAGACAGCAAGGGTCCAAATATAAGTCTTATCTGTGCCACTTACTATCTACGTTTTTGGGCAAGTGCAAATCTTCTTAGTGCTTTATTTTCCCATTTTGCAAACTGTGATCAATAACAGTAACACTTGGTTTATAGTTTTGTGAGAACTGAATGTGATAATACATGAGAAGCATTATGAATAGTCCCTTTGTTCAAATTAGCCTTAAAAATACATGCTAGTACTGTTACCGCTCTAAAAGAAAAGAATAAATGAACTGTGTGTTTTCTTTTTTATCTGATGATTTATCTTTATTTTTTATTTTTTAAGATTTTTTATTGTTATTCTATTACAGTTATCCCAATGTTTCCCCCTATGCCCTCTTCCACCACTTGAATTATTTTAGAAAAGAATATAAAAAATGTGCATCACTTTTCACACAAAAATCTATAGTTTCCTAAATATATAAGTCACTTGTTTCACATACAGCTAAAACTACCTAAAGAAAACTAGCATTTCTTCCTTAGACTGCTATGAGTTAAAGAATATATTTTATGCATTTTACTTAACCATTAAACTGCAAATTATTTAAAGGATAAGATATTAGTTGCAAAATGCAGAGGAAAACAGTAAAGTCATAAAGTACTTTTTATATGTTTCATGTAAAAAAGTGTTTCAGTATTTATTCAACAAGTTTTACTCTAAATCTGGTAAAAATGTGCAATATTTTAATCAAGTTTCTGTTCCAACCTTTATAGCAGCAGCTTTCAACCAGTGTGCCACAGGAATTTTTAAAACATGTAATACCTGATTGTTTAGTCAGGGGTACTGACCTCTTCTTCCTTAGACTGTCAAATAAAAAAATGACAACAGCAGATACAATAGCTATGTGTTGTGGATGAATCAAAATTATGTCTATTTCTTGTCATATTGGCAAAAACGATAATGTATTTTTCAGTGTGCCACAGGATTTTAGTTTATGTGTACCACGCGATGAAAAAGGTGGGAAACCACTGGCTTATAGCCTTTCCCTCGCCGTGGCAATGGTATAGTCCTGCCATCTAGTGAAATATCTACTTCACTGCAGGGACACATTGTGAAAATTAATACAAAACCTCCAATAAAAGAACAAAATTATATGTTTGTGCTTTCACATTTTAATTTTTAAGTTTTAAAACTATCTTAGAGGAAAAGTTTTTGATATTACAAGGGAAATTTTTTAATGTAGTATAAAAATGAGATAAAAAGAATACATAAAAGGCCCAACTTTGGGCAAGTATAATCCTGTTCAATTATCAATATAAATACCACTCTATGAAGTAATAATAAAAATTTTATGAAGAGAAATGTTTCATAATAATTCCCATAATGTTTAATGTTGCATCAATTGGGAATCTTTCTGGACATGTTCTTAAGTTTAGACAAAAAATGTCATTTACTACAATAACATTTGCAAAGCACAAAAGAACAAAAAAAAGATGAAAATAATATATCTTTCTCTATATATGAATATAAATACACATAGAATCATTTTTTAGTATAATAGAAACAAGGAAGCCATTATTATTTGTTGTTTTGTACTTCTGATTTGCTCAACGTTAAAATCTGGCCAAGCCTGACCCAATGGATAAAACATCTAACTTCAAGTACAATGGTTTTGCTACCACTCAGTAGTGCCTCAGTAACTTAAGGCTTCTTCATAACATGATTATCTGAACTACATAAGCTAATTTTTTCATATGAAACAATGATCTAAAATACACAGAGGTGTCATAAATTATGTAACTTTGTATATTTTTCACATACAAGCATAAATAGGTAGATAGGTAGGTAGGCAGGCAGGTGGGTAGTTAATTTTAAAGAAACACCATTAAATATTAGGGACACTGATAAAAAAAAAGAACACATTTGTAAGAAAGAGAGTAACGTGAACTCCAAAGAGCAAGTCCACCCCAATATTTGAGACCTGAAGCCTCCTGGACCCCTTGGGCTGCAGTCCACTGGTCATTTCTTCCCATCTCAAATTAAGAGGAAGTGTCATGCACAGGCCCCTAAGACCCCAAGTCCACAAGTGCAAGCCCCGACCCACCCCTCCTACACACTCCGCCTCCACCCTCATCAGCAGGCTCCCACATTTTAGACCAGGAATTTGGAACCTCTGATACCTAGAATGTGTGGAAGCTTTGGATTTTGCCTTGACCCTCAGGCTCCTCACTCTGTGTGGAGGGGCAACTTTCAGTTGGGGGTACACTAAAAGGACAGTTGGGGGTCCAAGGGTGGCACTGGCATAAGTGTGGTTTACAAAAGGACGTATTTTATAACGCCTATGGGGTAGAGAGGTGGTGTACCATGGTGGTGTCAGAGGGTATCCTCATGACCACCATTTTCCTTAGCTTGTATAACCCAGGGTTTTTGTAGAATGGAGAATATCAACCTTTCCATGGAAGCAAGGAAGAAGACAGAAATTAAGGATAGCTATCATCGTGTGCTCCTGTCGTGAGGGTCTTAACTGAAAACTTGGCATCTCTGACTTGTGACATCAAATATGAAGATCAGTTTTTCCCTTCAAATATAAGGAGTCTATTCTTCAGCCTGTTTTCATGTTGCATACAAGAACATGATAGATATAGAAGGCATTATTTTATCATATGCAGGCATATGTATTTACTTACCATGCTGTTCATTTTTGAAGATGATGAACCTGCTCTTTGCTTTCTTAAACTATTAACTTCTTCTGCATTTCCATCTTTTGGTTTCAAAATCATTCTGCTACTCCCTGCAGTTCCTTCTGATGAGGACCGCAGTCGTCTCTCTATAAATCTTCCCTCACGATATGGACTGAGGCTACTGGCAAGAACTATTAAAAAAACAAATAAAAATTAATATAAATATTTAAATGTGCTTTTTATAAATATTCCATTGAAAGCATATGGGAAACCCTTCATGTCATTCAAAAATTCTCTATCATTATAACTTTTTAAATTAATAGTGCTTGTTTAGTTTGCTTAAGCATATAATCACTTTGAACCCCAAAACTTTTGGAATCATCCAAGGCTTCCCTGTACCGCACATAAATGACATAAGCAAATTGTGCATTTATTATTTTCAAACTGTATATAGAATCTGATCACTTCTTTTTAAATTACATTTGTTGGAGTGACATTGGTTAATACAGTTATATAGGTTTCAAATGTACAATTCTATGATACATCATCTGTATATAGTATTCTGCGCCCTCCACCCAAAATGAAATCTTCTCTCACCATATATTTGATCCTCTTTACCCTTTTAGTATCCCCCAACCCCCTCCCTCTGTTGTCTGTGTCTCTGAGTTTTTGTTTGTTCATTAGTTGCTTTCAGTACCATATACCACATGTGAGTGAAATCATATAAGGTCAATGACTTTTCCTGTCTAACTTATTTCACTTAGTATGATAACTGTGAAAATCCATACATGTTGTCACAAGTGGCAATATTCTATCCTTTCTTTTCTTTTATTTAAATTTATAAATCATGTTTATTCTATTACAGTTGTTTCAATTTTTACCCCTTTACCCCCCTCCACCCACTCCACCCCCACTCCCCACTCCCCAATTCCCACTCTGTTGTCCATGTCCATGGGTCATTCATACATGTTCTTTGTCTAGTTCCTTTCCCTTCTTTCCACCATTGCCCTCTTTACCCCTCCCGTCTGATCATTTTCCATCTGCTCTATGTTTCTGTGCCTGTGGTTTATTTTGCTCATTAGTTTACTTTGTTGAATAGAGTCCACTTATAGGTGAGATCATATGGTATTTGTCTTTCATCAACTGGCTTATTTCACTTAGCTTAATATTCTCCACTTCCATTCATGTTGTCGCAAAAGGTAGGAGTTCCATTTCTCTCTCTCTTTCTTTCTTTCTTAAATGCAGATATTTTATTTATTTTTTTAGATGTCAAAGTTAATTATAAAATATTAAAAAAATTTAAAACCATTATAAAGTCTCAGCAATTAAACCAACATGACACCAGCCCAGAAATAATCAAGTAGATCAATGAAATATAATGAGCATTATAGAGACAAACATATATATCTAACAATATAATACATGATTAAGTTGATATTTCAAATCAATGGGTAAAATAAGGCTTATTCAACAAATAAGGTGCATGAACCACCATTACTTGAAATAAAACAAATATGGAGACCTATTTCACACATTATACAAGAAATATTCAGGTGAGTTAGAAATCAATATGTAGCATCTAAGGAGTTTTAGAAGAAAATAGAACTAATATTTCTCATGACCTGAAGTAAAATATTCAAACCCAGAAGTTATAAAGTAAATATTGGCAATATGACTATATTAAACATTTAACTATATAGTAATATACATATAAAAAAGTTAAAGGACAAAGAGTACAATAGAAAGGTATTTACAACATATCTAAAACATGGTTAATAGGGTTTTTTGGGGGTGTTTTTTAGGGAAATAAGTTCTACAAATCTTTAATCAATAAATGGATAAAGAATACCAAAAAGTCATTTAAAGCTTTTTTATATTAAAAAAATTGAAATAGGCAAGAAATATACAAAAACAGGTTTATTTTCAACAAATAGTAAAGGAACAATTAAAATAACATCATTGTCACAATCAGATTAATGAGTATTAAAGATATTGGTAATATCAAGTATTGGCAACTCTGTAAGGAACTGGGTATTGATAGAAACTTTTTCTTCATCTTAAAGCAGTCCCTTTCGCATATTTTGCAGTGCTGGTTTGGTGAAGGTGGATTCTTTTAGCCTACTTTTGTCTGGGAAACTCCTAATTTTGCCTTCCATTTTAATGGAGAGTCTTGCTGGGTAGAGCAGTCTTGGTTTTCATGACTTGGAATATTTCTTGCTAGTCCCTTCTGGCTTGCAGGGTTTCTTTTGAGAAGTCAGCCGCTAGCCATATTGGGGCTCCCTTATATGTTACTACCTCTTTCTCCCTTGCTTGCTTTAGGATTCTGTTTGCGTTTGATATTTGCCATTTTAATGATGATGTGTCTTGGAGTGGGCCTCATTGGGTTCCTCTTGAATGGGACCCTCTGTGCTTCCTGGACTTGTATGACTTTTTCTCTCCTCCAACTAGGGAAGTTTTCCATCATGACTTTTTCAAACAGGTTCTCTATCCCTTCCTCATCCTCTTCTCCTTCTGGTGTCCCTATTATATGGATATTATTACGTTTCAGGTTACCCTGTATTTCCCTAAATGCCTCTTCATCCTTTTTGAGTCTTTTTTCATTTTCTTACTCTTTCTGGTAGCTTCTTTCTACCTTATCCTCCAGCCTGCTAATTCGGTCCTCAGCTTCACCTAGCCTGCTTTTGATTCCTTCTCCTGTGTTCTTCAATTCAGAAATTGTATTCTTCATTTCCTCTTGTCTCTTATTGATGATATCTATGTCCTTTTTCATGCTGATGTAGTTTACAGTATGTTCCTCTTAGTTCCCCTGTAGTTTTTGGTAGTTCTCTCTGAGCTCACTGACCTCATTTAGCTTCCTTAGAACCGTTGTTTGAAACTCAATATCTGATAGTTTACTTGCCTCTCTTTCATTTAGTTCTCTTTCTGGGGATTGCTCCTTTCCCTTCGAGTGGGGTGTATTTCTTTGTCTTCCCATTATTTGGGAGACTCTTCTCTTTTGCTTCTGATTCTTAAATTGATCCGTCTGGATCTCCTGACTTTGTGGTGTGAGCTTCTATGGTTGGTGACCGCTGTTTTTACTTTGGATCTGCCTCTGATAATGTCAGATGTTGACACTGTCTGACCTTAAGACAGTCTGTTGGATACTTTCAGAAATCTACTATTTGTGGCTGTCTCCTTCAACTGTTAATCTAGTCACTCTGCACTCAGCAGGCCACCTTAGACAGCTCAGGGCGGGACAGGTCCCTCCTGGAGGCGGGGTTATTGGGTCCTCTCATGCTGCTGCATACGGGGGAGGAGTCTGCACTGGGATCCCGCCGGCTGCTCTCTCTGTTCTCTCCCCAAAGCCTCCATCCCCAGTCTCCCCTTAAGTGTCACCAGACCTCTCTGCAACCCCTTTATCCAGGGATCTACTATCTGTGGCTGCCACTCTGCACTCAACAGGCAACTTAGACAGCACAGGGCAGTGTGGAATCCTACATGGGTGTGGAGCTATTGGGTCCTTTCACACTGGTGCTGCTCAGGGAGAGTGGTCTCTGCCTGAGCAAGATGGCGGCTGCCTCCTGGGGGATGAGTCAGCACCAACATCCTGCCGGCTACTCTCTTAGTTCTCTCCCCAAAGCCTCCATCCCCAGTCTCTCCTCAGACGTCTCTAGCCCACTCTGCCCCTGCCTTTGCTGGAGACCAGCGTAAGTGGCTGCAAATACAAATTTATGCATTGGCCCTTTAAATGGTTCTTAGTGTCTCCAGCTGCCTGTCTCTGCCACTTTTCGCACTGGCTGTTTTCTGTGTACTTTTCGGGCTCTGGTGCTGTGGGCTAGAGATCCTCGCTTTTGGTTTAGACCCCGCTCTTCTCAGGGGGATCCCACTGGCCGTTTCAATATCCTTCTGGTGCTACTGCCCGTCGGCAACCCACCTGCCTTCTCAGGTCTGTACCGCACTCCTTACCAGTTAGATTGCGCTAAAGCCGATTCTTCTGTCTCCGAGGTTACAAGGCTCCTTTCTTGCTATTGTTCAGTTGTTTGTTCCAGGTGATTTCTCCCCAATTTAGTTGTACTTCTAGGCTGGTCCTGGGAGGAAGTCAGTGTGACTTCCACTCACTCCTCCGCCACCTTGAGTCCCAGTATTTTATCTTTTCTTAAGCCTGAGTAGTAATCCACTGTATTTGTGTTCCACATCTTTTTTATCCAATAATGATCACTTCTTCCTACCTCTCTCACTAATACCCTTGACTGAACTAATGCTAGCCTAGATTACTGCAATACTTTTAATAATCTCCTAATGCTAGCCTAGCCTAGATTACTGCAATACTTTTAATAATCTCCTGTCTCTTCCTATACCCACCTGTTTCCTTCCACCAAAATACAATCTACTTTTGATATGATATCCAAAATGGGACACTTAAAATATAAGTGAGATGGATCACAATCACTCCACCAGTCACAAAGCTGATGTTTTCCCAATGGTCAATCAGGTTCCTCATGTGACTCTATTCTCCACCTTACACTGGGGGTCTACCCATCATTTATCTGGTCACATCTCTAATTTCATCGTCTGCTGCTCCTCCTCACCCTTCCCTAAGCTTATGCCATACTGGACCTCTTGCCATCCCCAGGAAATTGCAGGTATGTTGCAGACAATAGCCTTTGTACTGATAAACATCTCTCAAATATTTGTATATCTTACTTCCTAATCACCTTCATGTTTTTGTCAATATGTTACCTTAAGTAATAACCTGCTCATAGTTAAAAATACAAATTACAATGAACTATCAAAATTAAAATTAAGAAAGCCAATTCATTTATAGTAGCATCAAAAATAGTAAAATGCCTATTAATAAACTTAACCAGGTACTAGATGTCTACACTGAAAAAATGTCTACACTGATGAAATAAATTGAAAAAAAAATAAATTGACAGTCCATGTTCACAGATTGGAAGAATTAATATTTTTAAAGTATCCATACTACCCAAAGTAATTTACAGATTCAATGCAATCCTTATCAATATTACAATGGCATTTTTCACATAAATAGAAAAAAACTCTAAAATTTGTATGAAACCACAGAAGACTCCAACTAGCCAAACCAGTCTTGACAAAGAAGGACAAAGCTGCAGGGATCACACTCCCTACTTTAAAACTGCATTACTAATCCACAGAAATCAAAACAGTATGGTATGAACATAAAAACAGAAAGAAAATAAAATAGAGATCTCAGAAATAAACTCATGCATATGTGGGAAATTAATTTTTGACAAAGAAGCCAAGAATATACAATGGGAAAAGGACAGTCTCTTCAATAAATGGTACTGGGAAAACTAGATAGCAACTTGCAGAAGAATGAACCTGGGCCCCTATGTTACACCACACACAAAAATCAACTCAAAATAGATTAAAAAGTTGAATGTAAGACCTTAAACTGTAAATCTTCTAGAATAAAAAAGAGACAATAAGATCCTTGACACAGGTCTTAGCAATGATTTTTTGGATTTGACACCAAAGATAAATGAAACAAAAACAAAAATAAGTGGGACCACATCAAACTAAAAGGCTTCTGCTCAGCAAAACAAAGAATCAAAAAAATTAAAAAGCATCGTATGGAATAGGAGAAAATATTTGCAACCTGTAAGCAGCTAATATCAAAAAATATACAAGGAACTCAACCAACTTAATAGTAAAACAAAAGCAAAAACAAGACAACAATGACCCCCACATACAAATACAAAACCTAATAGACGTTTTTTCCAAAGATGACTAATCAAAGATGATTAATGATGTTGTACACTAATCATAAGGGAAACTCAAATCAAAACCACAATAAGATATTACCTCATACCTTTTAGATGGCCATTATCAAAAAATCAAAACATAAGTGTGTCGAGAATGTGGAAAAAAGGGAACCCTTACACACTGTTGGTGGGAATGTAAACTGGTAAAACCACTGTGAAAAAGAGTATAGAGTTTCTTCAAGAAATTAAAAGTAGGACTATCATATGATCCAGCAATCCCATATTTGGGTGTGTACAAAGGAAATAAAATTATTAACTCTGATAGTTGCACTACTATAGTCATAACCACATTCTGCACAATAGGCAAGGTATGGAAACTATGTAAGTGTTCATGGATGAATGAATGAATAAAGAAGATATGATATTATACATAATGGAATATTACTCAGCCTTAAAAAAGAAGGAAATCTATCATATGTGTCACCATGGATGAACTGAGAGGGTATTATGCTAAGTGAAGTAAGTCAGATAGAGAAAGAAAAATACTGCATGGTATTGTTTATATATAGAATCTAAAAAAATAAATAAAGCAAAAATGTTAAACTCATGGAAACAAAAAGAGTGGTTGCCAGGGAGTAGGAGGCAAGGAGAAAAAGGATAGTTTAGTAATAAGGTACAAACTTTTAGTAATGAAGTGAGTAAGGTCTGAGATATAACATATAACAAGGTGACTGTACTTGATAACATTTTATCACATAATTGAAAGTTGCTAAGACAGCAGAAATTAACTGTTCTCACACACTAAAAAAGGTGAATATGTGAGGTAATAGATACATTAACTCAGTGGTAGAGAATCCTTTCACAATGTATATATATATATATTAAATCACTGTAGAATTTAAATAGCTTACAATTTTATTTGTCAACTACACCTTAATAAAGCTGGAAATAAATACAAAATCCAACTTTCCATTTTCTACTCTTTCATTCTGGTTTAAAATTATCCTCAGTAGTTACTACTGTATCTCATTTATTTATTTGTATATTAATTGTCTGAGGATCCCCAGCAAAAGTAAGCTTCAGTAATATATCTCTAGTGCTTAAAACAGTGCCAAAACAAATACTTGTTGAACCAATGATTACATGAGAGAGTGAGAGAATGAATAAATGAACTGTTCTATATAGGCTCATCTCCTGACTTAAAATATTTTTGGCCAGACCCTACTAGGAAAACACAGCACTATTTAAATTAACTTTTTAAGTCAATGAATAAAAACTAAATTGCCAGATATATCAATATTACATTATTAATTTTGATTTGATTGTAGACCTAATATACCCAGATATGTATTAAATACTAGCTAGAATATGTTTCATAAAAAAAACAATAAATTTAGTATTATGGAATTTAGTATGTATAGCATCTCTATTTTATATAAAATACACTTAATTGGTTTTAAAATGTTAAGCTTCCAAATAACAAAATCCTTATGAATAGCAGGTGAACATGCCCACAGTTTGAGACTAGTATACTATCATCTTTTCCTTGTTGACATTACCAACTTATTACTGCTTTACAAGTTGTAAATAATATGAATAAATAGCTAATGTCCAAAAACAGGCAACACATTGGCAAATTCAGTGAAATTACTTTAATAAGTTAAATAGTTTGCAATTAGGATTTCAGCCAACAGATTAATAGCAAAGTAATTGTTGGTCATTCTCTAGTTCCTATAAGAAATAAATATATACAGTACTCAATTTGACAGCCATCATTTATAAATTAAAATCAGAGATAATCATGATAATTATATTTCTACCCATTTGCATGCTATTCCTTTATAAATCTGCCTAGATGCCAGTCTGAGATCCACCATTTACTAACAATGTGATCTCATAGTTATTTAACTTAATCCTAAATTTTAGTTACTAATAATTGCCACATAAACTTTTAGTTAAAATTAAATGGAACAATTCATGCAAATTCTTTAGTACATTTTTGACACATATTAAGTTTACAAAACAGGTGTCCATTATCAATATCTTCCTTATAGTCATTCTTATATCATTAAAGAATTAAGCAGGTATAACCAGAGCCAAAAGTATAAGCAAAGCTACTAAGATTAAAAAAAATTAAAAAGTAGGCATATACATAAAAGTGATCTTGTATCAAATGTGAAAAATACTAAGCTATACAATTATATCACTGAACAATTAATTCATGCATTTCAAGTTTAAAATTGCCATAATCAAGCAGGGACTGGTCAGATAAATCATATAATCTTATTATTTCTGACATATGTGTGTGTGTATTTCATTAACAAAGAAATACTAATACTCCATCATAAACTCTAAAAAAGATAGTCCTTGTTTTAGACAAAGCCACATTGAAAATAAAATTAGTTTCCTTTCACTTTCTTCTGAGGGTCAGATTCTGGACAGCATAACTAAGAAAAATGAGTAATATTGTTAAATTAAATTTTCAACATAATACAACTGAAGGAAGTTTAAGATCAAGTATTGAAAAGATTTAAAATTATAAATAGAGAAAATATTAGAGAGTAAAAATAAGAAAAATGTGATTGCAATAATGAGATGAAGACAATTATATAATCATGATAAAAATTATAACTTATATTTATTATACAAAGAAAATCAGCCTACCTTTGGCAGGATTTGCATCATATCCACATGTTTTGTTAAAAATATGACGATCACCAGAAGAAGGTATTATTCTTGAATCTGATATAGGATGGATCCCTTTAACACGTTCAGCTATCACTTTATGTTGCTCATAAAATCCAAGTTTCCTCGGGGAGCTTGTCACCAACATTGTGTCACCGTTTTGTAATCCCATATGTTCTCCTCCTTGAGCATCTGTTGACAGGTGAGTCTTTGAGTCACTCCCATTGGTGAGAGGGAGCTCAGTGACTTGCAATAACACTTCCTTCTGATTAGCAGCAGAGGTTTCTGGTGAGGAATTAGAGTCAGTGCTACAACGACCTTCTAACCTATATTTCCCAGGAGACATAATTGCACTGGAAACAGTTCCCATAAGGTCTACTGTTGCCTTTGGAACGGCACCAGGATTGGAAGAGATCTGAGAGGTAGAATCATTGTGGCCAAAGTTGTCACAGTGGGATGCCATGCTTCCACTTTTTGAAAATGCATCTGCTTCAGACACAGAGTCTTCAGTCAAGGCTAAAAACTCTGAAGGTGTCTGAGCTGTGGTAAGATCAGCAGAAAGCAATGGAGATTGTAAAGAGCTTCCTGCCCGTTCTGTTACATCCACAGAACAAGATGGAGAAGCTCTGACTAATACAGGTTCTCTCTCTTGGTACTGTGTAATTTCCAGTGAGAACTCAGCCTGTTGTTCCAATGAAATGGACTGGCTCTGTGGCACTGGCTTAGAAAATTTATAGTGCGATGAAAAAGATTTAGTAAGCAGCTTTTTTGTTGACTGCTTAACAGAACGGCGAGTTTGTTCTTCTGTAAATCCAGAATCATCCCCCTCACTTTTGCCAGAACTTAGGCAATTTATAAAGACATTCTTATTAGTTGAGTGTTCCTTTTCCCTTTCAAAATCTTCTGTCAAAGACCTTGTTATCTTCTTATTTCGTGAACTACTAAAACCAACAGAATGTCTTCCTCTGATTTTAATATGTTCTTCCAAACTCAGTTTTTGCATACTGCTGTGACCAGGTTGAGCACCATTTGAAATACTAAGGTTCTGGTTGGTAGGTTCTTGCTTAGGTTCACTCCCCTTCTTATGGTGGAAGCTAATAGAAGGAGTACGGAATATGCTCCTGCGTTTACCTGTACTACCTGAGCTTGAGTTAGTGCTGGAAGGAGAGGAACTGTGGACGCCAACTGTGTTACTGGAGGAGGGTGAAGAAGGAAGAGAATCATGTCTTCTGCTAATGCTTCTTCTGAATATTGGCAACCGGGAGACCAGGGTAGATCGTCTTGATCCAGAGTCCCCCATTGGGACCCCAAAGCTTGCACTGTGATAGCCAACTTAGCAGCCTGGGAAAAGTTAAGACAAAAAGAACAAGTCAAAGGAATTCAAATATAAGTAAGACATTTTAAAATAAATCATATTCTTCAACACATAGAATACAATTAGTTTATATTAAAACAATAAATAATAAAGGTATAATACTTAAGGATTTTATTAAAAATTTACAAGTAGCAAAATTATCCAATATTTTGCATAGCAATTTTATAATGGTGCAAAATTTTCAAGATTATTCAGAATATTTAAAGTCTATTCAAAAAAGGGTTGGGTTGGGAGACATGATATCATTTTTCAAGACCCAGCCTTACTATTCACACAAATTCTATAATCTGGTAAATTGCATAATCTTAACACTCTATGTCTATTTATTTAGATGTAGTAGGCATGTGAGAGCCATGATCATTGCCCTCTGGGGAAATGTCCCACCACTGCCTCTGTTGGCCAGCACCAGACAGACTGAGGGATTCAACAAGTGGTTAATGATTAACCTGAGTTTAACAGAATCACACACCAGCTAAGGTGTGACCTGACATTAGAAGCTCCACTCATGGAATAAACTTGAATGTATTCTTCCCCTTGAAGTTTCACTGGACTTTTAGAGATAACAAGGCCAATGGCAGAGGCAACTAAACCATATAGTTTAGAGTTATGAGCAAGATAAAGTTATGAAGAAACCACAACTATGAGTTGAAGGCCTAATCAAAAGCTAATTTGACTGGTAATGCTGAGACAAATGAGAATACAGGCTGAGAGAAGCAGAAGCACAGAAAATTTCTGAGCCATATTAATACCAGAAAAAAGAAGAAGGAAGAGGAGAATAAATTTCATCAGTTCTGATCTACTAGGTACTTAGGTACTTTTACACAGCTTATCTCTTTTAATGCTTCTAACTGTAGAAGTAGATATTACTATGGACATTTTATGACAGAAAGGCAACTTGCTTAATGTCACTCAGCTAGTAAGCGGTAAAGCAGGACTAAGAAGCTAAGCCTTATCTAACCACAGGGTCAGCTCATGATCAGCATGTTACATACAGCTTTCAGAAAAAGTGAAGAGCCTAAAAATTGCCCTGTTCAAGGCCCAGATGTGCTTCCACTTCCCCTGAAGTTGTATGGTCAGTCTTGCTATTCTGATGACTTCTGGCTTTCACTGGTTTTCATAATATGTCATCGTTTGGTTTCTGTTTTGTTTTGCTTTGTTTCTAAATTTTACTTACTACTTTAACTAATATAATATACACACCCCCTTTGTCAACTGGATTGAGGCTCTGTTTCATTTGTTGCTTTTATTTTCTTAATTTTCTTCTATCCGCACCCAAGGGCATTTTTTCATTGATTTTAGAGACAGAGGAAAGGAGAGAGTGCATTGATTAGTTGCTTCCAGTATGCACCTGGACCAGGAATCGAACCCACAACCTTTTGTCTCCGGGACAATGCTCCAACCAACTGAGCCACACCAGGCAGGGCTGTTTCATTTTGTTGCTTTTTGCAACTAAAATCAAACAATAACAAATACTACATAGAATGACAAGTCCTCCGTTTTATCATCCTTATTGATATATTAGTTTGAGCAAGTAAAGTACTTCCATGTCCTTAAAGAAGTATGTGATGAAAATGGAAAGTATTTTCTCTTTCAGATATGCATTCGTATATATTTACTATCTTGTTCCAAATAATATAAAATATAACAGTTTTGCATTATATGATTTTAGGATGATTTTTAATTGCACTCATTGAATTTGAGTTTAAGTCTAACTATGTTTGAACCATTCCCAATGTATTTAAGTATTCTTGTAAGACTTTGGTTGAAGAAACCTTAAAATATAAACAAAGACATTTTAGTTCTTGAAGTCTTACAGAAATTAAAAACATCTCATTTTTCTCCCATCTTAAGTTTTCCAAAGTGGATACAAAATACAATTTTTTTCATGATTTCACTCATAATAATGCTTTAATGAACATCATTCTCAGCTGTGATTTTTCATTTATATGCAGGACTTGTTTCACCCAATGTCTGTGAAGATCTTGTTCTAATTACAGCATTATCAACCATAATGATTTGCAGCTGTGGTGAACCTATGGCCTTCAGTGCATCAATGTCAAGATATTTATCATTTTTATTGAAAGTTTCAGAATGTATGTATATTGAATTATTTATTGGCCTCTTTTTTAATTTTTTGCATTTGAATCAGCACTTAATGACAGAAGAATGACTCAAGTTCCATATACCTTTAGTAAATATTAAAAGAATTTAATTTAGAAATTCAGAAAAAAGTATTATAATAATTACTCCTCTTCCCAAATACTTAATGAAAATGACCAGACTTCCCTTGGGTACAAATAATACATTTAGGCTACTAACATATTTTCATAATTTCTTTAATATATCACAGAGATACTAAGAGAGATCTGCACATTGAAAGGATGACATGGAGTAAATATAAAATGTACTAGAGACCAAGAAAGATTTTATTTTGTCTACTGATAATCTTTTAAATGAAGTTCTTTATTTCCTACTGAGAACTTTCCAGCTAAACAAAACACAGACAAAAATATCTATAGTTTGCAATCATCCATACTTTTTTAGATAGACCCTTTAAGGTCTATATGCTATATATTCAGTATGTCTCCAGGTTCATGGTTCCCCTCCTTACATTTTCATTCTCTAATCACACTAATTATACCTTCCATTTTCTGTCCACTTTCACCTACTGGGCATTTGCAGATATGGGTCCACCTGTCTGGGTGCTTTTCCTGGAACTCTGATGTGCAGAATTCCTATTTCCATAACATCACCCCTTCCACAATGCCATTCCTGTCCCACCCTCTTCCATTGTAGATGGAATACTCCTTTATAAATCCTCAAGTATAGTTTATAAAGTAACCATCTGCTTCTTTATCTGACTTTACTATTTTACCATAAGTTTCTTAGTAGCAAACCCATTCTCTGCTTTGCATTGAGACCCCAATGCCTAATATAATACAAAATCAATACCCATAGAATAAATGGATTTCCAAAAATGACATTTAACTTAAATTCATCAGTATTTCAAACATAAACAATCCTGGTCCCTGTCTTCTACCATAAATAAATGCAACAAGTTAAGGTTAATTGTGCTGAATTAAAACTTTTAGAGATTCACAAGTTGAAAGTGTTTCAAACTAATATTCGATAATCTAAACTCTGCTAACATATGAAAATAAAATGCTGAGTAAGTTTAATAGAACAGTATATCATCATATCAACTTCAATTATTAATGAAAGACAAATATAGCATTACATGTTGATTTTATTTTTATTATCATTAGAACAATTACATTTTATTCTTTTGACAACCTTGAATATATTTTCACATACTTTTACAAATTTCCAACTCAGATAAAATAAACACATTTTCTCAGTCCTCCTCTACTATTTCTTGGTTCAGAAGTCATAGGTGCTTCAAACATAACAAGTCCTAAAAATATATGGGTTGGACTAGACCTTCCCATTGTCCAGGGGTCTTTACTACCATAAACTTTATATTCTTTGGAAAAGCACATTCATTATATAAAAAGATGGCCTTCTAATTATACCTTTTAAGCTGTATAAATAAGTGAAAGCTGACTTGTAGGTATTATCACTACACAGATGCATACTGACCCTATTAGAAGTGGTGTGAAACCCAGTGTGATCTCAACAGAAGGAAAGACATCCTTTGTTCTTTAGCACCAGAGCAAACAAAAGACTCCCAGAAAGTATTTTATTCAGTGATCTCTTAGCTAACACTATTATTACCCTTAATAGAGTGCAACATCATGTGATGGATCTATTCTGAATAAAATGAGAGGGGAATTTGTTTGGCATGTATAAGGAGGATATGGATTCTAGTTGAAGGAGTTATATAAATTGTTAATATGCTACTTATTTAAAATTAGAGTAAACATAAAATAATTGAAGAAATAAGATATTCTGAGAAAAAGAAAAGAAAAAGACTTCCATGATTCCAAAGGCATCATCCAAAGGCAAAAAACAACCTTGCAGTACATTTTCAGAGCTATCATCTTGGAAAGTGATTACCACATAACCAAAGAGGCATGTCTTTCTGTCGCAGTAAAAGAAGTAAAACAAAACCCCCTTCACCTTTTCCTTTCCCAATATTTTTCATATACTTCCCTAGAATTTTGACAACCCTCAAATGTTTTCACCATGAGCCAAAGGTGATAGTCACCTTTGTCCATATCTGAGATAGTCCTAAATATCCTTTGTTTGTCTTTCTCCCAAAACTGATGATATTTTGTGGAAAATAAAAAAGCAAAACTAAACAAAAAAATACTTCTGACACACACTTGCAATTCGCAAAAAAAAACAACCAAAAATTGGTTTTAAATCCGAGCTCTGTCACATACTAGTAGCATGAACTAGAATATAGATAACAACTTTTTAGAGTGATTTCTTTTCAGGATGAGAAGGTGCAACATAGATTTAACACTCTGCCTGGAATAGAGTATATTTTCAGTTTCTTTCTTTTCAATGAAATACATTCAAATAAGTGGTGCATGGTGGTGCAGCACATACATAGAGTAATTATGTAAATGAGCTACTTTTCAAAATCTATCCCAAACCCTATAGTTAATAAAATCACCTAAAATATTGGGGGGATATATATAAATTGAGATCGGTATTCTAAACCCTTATGATGAACCTCCCTAAAGCATACATTTTTATTAGAATTTAAAAACCATGATCAATATTTGAAATGTTTGTGAGAAATGTTGCATAAGATAAATCCTGTCCTTGTCCCAATTCTATTCTTTCTCAGAAGATTTCAGAAAATAACCCAGTAAAGCCTAAATGACCATACTGAGAAGAAAATCTATAATATATGATAAAATGGAAGAAAGAATGTCAAGAGGGCGGGGGCGACGTGTTGTGGGGAGTGCTGCACGGGACGCTCCGGGATCTGAGGGTCGCTGTCCAGAGCCAGCTGAGGAGGGAGCAGGGCTCTGAATCCCACAGAGCCCGTCCC